CGGGCAGGGCAAACATCGTTTTCGCTCCAAGCTTTCCTGTGCTCCCAAGCTGGTCTCGCCCGTCATTTGCGGGCAGGCCTCGTACTGAGTTCCCCGTAACCGCTCTTGCAGCTCACCCTGCCTGTAATTTCAGCCCTGAAATCCTTTCTTGATTTTATCTTCTCGCGTTAAGAGAAAAGTCCACTTTGCTATAATAGATCTTTCAAAAGTGCGACGTTCAGCTCTGAAAACACATTTATTCATTCCTACAGGCATTGTCCAAACTCGCTTTAAAACCATGCAGCTCCCTTAGTAACAAGAAAACGTTCTGAATCACTAATCTCGATGGGTCCCTTCTTGTTGTTGCGCATGTGCAATATGTTAAAGGATGGTTGTCCTGCATTACGTTCGGTCGTGCTTCCAGTTTTGTAGGCGTACATTTCCTTTATGATGTTTCTTTACCCAGAACAAAAACCTCCCCTGCAAGTGTTTCACATATCATAATAAGAGAGAGTGTAGTGGAATGTTATAAACCAATCCATTTTTAATTTGTGGCACATTACCGCTAATCCGAGATAAGAAGGAGTTGAAGAGTTTCTTTATTTAACGTATTCCTTCGTGAAAGATGCTAAAAAGTTTTCTTTTTTTTACCTTTGGGCTTATCAGGCCTATAGGGCAGGACAAATCATGAAATTATTAGCCTACATTCCATGGTGACAAGCAACAGTAACAATGAAGCATAACTAAAAACCTTTGGCATCTGAAATAATCTAGATCAGTAAAATCTGGGGATTAAAATGAAAAATCTGGCAAATAACAACATTCTGCCGGTCGGGGTATGCACTATATGATGGGTATTTTATTGCATAGATTACTATCTCTATATCAGTGAGATGACATAGACATAAATATGACCTCAATTGCGTAATATGTGGGTAACAGTTCAATGCTAACCAGTCTAAAAATTTATCACTGGTTCGATCAGTTTCCCAAAATTGGTAATGCATTGTTTATTAATTAAATTCAGAAAGTGCTTGAAAGCTTGATTACTTTTTATTAGTTGAGTATTAAAACGATGCTGGACATAAAAGCTAATAAAACCTCTATGACCCTTGTATCTTAAGACCAAGTTACGACAGAGTCCTTCAAATAATAAAAAAATCTTGTGTATTTGACACTTGATTGGAGCTTACTCAGTAAAGCATGTCTTAAAATCAGCCTTTTATGATTTGAGGGGAAGAGAGCTGGAAGAGGCAAAATTTTCAAACACCTCTGGCTAAGATCATAACATAAAGCATGAATGGAAGCTAGCATTAAAGACAATTTTAAGATAACTGAGAGAATCCTCGTTCGCTGATTGGTCGAGAGCTATGGTCTATAAGATTTTAGACCATGGAATGACCTAACATGTCACGCAGTGCCGGTTGTTTTGATTTTTCGAAAAATAAATGTTATTGTAAAAAAAAAAAATTCGACCACAAATTTCCATGGTGTACACTCTTATAGACCATAGAAATGACGCCATAAAATGTTCAAAACTTTGCAGTGAAGCCACTCGCCTGCGACTCGTGTTTCCACTTGAGTTTTTAACATTTTATGACGTCATTTTCTATAATTTACAAGAGTGTAGACCGTGGAAAATTCTGGTCGATTTGTTTTAAAATTTCCTGTGTATCATTTCCAACTATTATTTTGTCTCGTGATAACGAAGTCACAATCTACAAGTGTGCACGTGCCAGACCGATGAGTATTCATAAAAAGTGTGGTGACGTAACATCATGTTCCATAGCAACGTCAAAACTTAATTGTTTAGTTTACAACCCGATATAAATACGCAGTGGCCAGTTCCAATTCAGTGCTTTGTCAGTGACATAAAGTATGAACTTTGAAGGTTTAATAAGACTGATAGTTTAACGTACACATCTGAGGAATCCATGGAGTTTTTTAATGTTGTCTTCTTTGCACTGTCCTTTTGGTCGGTCGCCATCTGCAGCGTGTATTCAGGTACGTTTCTGTTTCTCTTTAGTTATTTGCATCACAGAATGGGACATTGCAGCCATTGCATTGTCTCAATACAGAGAAAATCAGTTCAGTGCAACCTTGTAGATGCTATCTTCAGACGGGAGAAGTGGATTTTCATTCTATGCATTTCTTGAGGGGCCTCAAGAGTAGAACTTTTTTATAATTACCACATTTTAAGTGGAATGTAAGACCATAAGGCCCATACATATGACATCTACTAAAGGTTCTAGATATCCAGCAGAGCTTAAAATAGTGAGTGGAAGGAAAGAATATCATGGCTAACAACTGTCTCTGTTCCAAATCATAAGGCGTGCAATGACAATAAGACGTATCCCTGACACAAAAAGGACATGATTGAACAATATTTTCTATAACTGGTTTAAAAATACAATCCCTGAAAAAGTCTACCCGTCATGAGAATCCTTTCTCTTTCAATTCGAGAAAAAACTCTGAGATAAGCACTTTACCAGCACCTTAGGGCAGCGCAACTTGAATGCATTTATGCCGGCCCTTTGGATTTATTTTTGTTCTCTTTTTTTTGTTGTTTAGAAAAGTATTTCTTTTGCTTTTAATTTTTCTTTATCTTGTTTAAAGACTAACCCTTAGAAATTTGGACGACACATTGTAGTCACATACATCGAATTTTGCCATAAAATCCCCGTCATTTATTACTTTGTATAGAGGGTAAAATTCATGGTCTTTTAAGTGTCTTTAGAACGCAATTATAAAGGCATTTTGGAGAAGCCTGCTGATGACAGAGGATTATGTTTTTGTGGTAGATAAAATTACAAACTAGTTTTTTGTTGTTTTATGTAACGTATTATTATTTTAGCTGATTAGTTGTATTTGTTTTGTATTTGTTATATAATTAGATTAGAAAGTTTAAAAGTGCGGTAAAGACTCTCAAACAGAAATGACCTTCTTTTAGCAAACCATATCGTTTGCTAATTAATTTATCATTGTTCTAGTTTGAATTGCTACAGCAATGTTACTGTGAGCCATCAATCTGGGACAAAATGAAATGGAACAACAAACACACCCATCCTCTCGAAACAAGGATGGAGCTGCGCGAAGGTGAAAACATGCCATTTTCCCATCCTTCTTTCGTTTCCGGAGTGTGTGTGTGTGTGTGTGTGTGTGTGGTGTGGGGGGGGGGGGGGGGTGTTTGTTTTTTTTCCTGTTTATGTCCTAGAGTGAGAGGTTTTTTTTTTAAGTATTGTTGAGATGGTTTTTCTAATATCGTATCTGTTGTTTGATGTTTGGGGAACTAACAGCCATATGTTATAACTAAAATTATTT